AGAAGCAAGACTCCATCTTAAAAAAAAAAAAAAAGAAAACCCTTTCCAGAAACACCATTTAGGCTATTGATAGTGTCTTTTAATTGCTTGCCAGTTCACCTTTGCTGATGGGGAGTGGCATCCTGGGGACCTCTCTGAAGTTTGATGCTCTAGTGGCGTATATCAACAGGCGGCTAACTTGGCCACACTCCTGAGCAGAGTGTCTCTGTAACTGCTAAGACCTTTGTGGTTAGTTTTGTGAATACGTTTTTAGACTCTGGTATTCTTACTTAATAGAATTCTATTTAAGCCAGCCAGGAGTGGTGGCTCACACCCGTAATTTAAGCACTTTGGATCCTCGAGGAGGATCACTCGAGGCCAGGAGCTCAAGACCAGCTTGGGCAACATAGGGAGGACCCTGTCTCTACAAAAAAATTAAAAATTAGCCAGCTTGAGCCCAAGAAGTTGAAGCTATAGTGAGTTGTGATTACGCCACTGCACTCCAGTCTGGGTGACAGAGCAAGACCTGGTCTCAAAAAAAAAAAAAAACAAAAAACACAATTATGTGTAAACCTTCCTCAGACCACAGTGAACTAGAAATAGTAATAAAATTTCTTCCAGTCTAAATTCTGAAGTTTATATTGCTGACTCCCTGCATTTTATTTTTTTGTTTTTTTTAATTTATTTTAAATAAAAATAAAATAATTTATTTAAAATAAAAAAAAGAACTTTTTTACTAAGATTGGGTTTCACCATGATGGCCAGGCTAATCTTGAACTCCTGACCTCAGGTGATCCACCCACCTTGGCCTCCCAAAGTGCTAGGATTACAGGCCTGAGCCAGCGCGCCTGGCCCTGTTTTGTTTTTTTGAGACAGAGTCTCATTCTGTTGCCCAGGCTAGAGTCCAGTGGCACGATCTTGCTTCACTGCAACCTCCGCCTCCTGAGTTCAAGCGATTCTCCTGCCTTAGCCTTCTGAGTAGCTGCAATTACATGGGTGCATCACCATGCCTGGCTAATTTTTGTGTTTTTAGTAGAGATGAGGTTTTACCATTTTTGTCAGACTGGTCTTAAATTCCTGACATCAAGTGATCCACCTGCCTTGGCCTCCCAAAGTGCTGGGATTATAGGCATGAGCCACCACACCTGGCCTATTTATTGATTTTTTTTTTTTTTTTTTTTGGGAGACAAGGTCTTGCTCTGTTGCCCAGGGTGGAATGCAGTGGTGCCATCATAACTTACTGCACCCTTGAACTCCTGGGCTCAAGCAACCCTCCCACCTCAGCCTCCCAGATAGCTAGGACTACAAATGTGTACCCGCATGCCCGGCTAATTTTTTGTTGAGACAGTGTCTTGCTGTGTTGCTTAGGCTGGTCTCAAACTCCTGGTCTTAAGCAATCCTCACACCTCAGTCTCCCAAAGCATTGGGATTATAGGTGTGAGTCACCATGCCTGGGCCCCTTATTTCATAAATGAGGAAAGAGACTCAAATGTTCTGGGTATGACATAGATAATCTTTTTTCCATCTTTCATTATGTTGCCTTTGCCTGTTCTCCAGAATTACACAGTTATTTCTGGGAAATTAAAATGAACACTAAATCTGAGGCTTGTAACCATTACAGAATTCCTTCATGGCTTTGCTTTAGGTTCACATATTCACAGGCTCTCACTAGCCTAGGCAACCATGATGTAGGACCAAAAGGAAGAAAATAGATAAAGCCTATTATGTAATAATATGCTTGTCTGCTATTAAGAGAAAGTAAAAATCCAAAGAATACATAAAAGTAAGTGTTGAACATACTGTGGAGCATTGGTACAATTCTTGGTGCTGGCAGCCACCATCCCCTGCCAGAATCAGTTGATGTATGTGCCATGTATCTCCAAGGGAAAATATGTGAGTCCTTTCCTTTTACATGAGCTGTACAAGAAGTGAGCCTTGAAGTAAAGGAAAATGGTGGGCATGAGACTTACCATGGTAAAATGACACTTTGGATTTTGTTCTAACAAACTTCAGAAAGATACCCTGAAGTATCTTTTATAGCTCTGTACAGAAATACCATTTTATCAATTAAAGAAGCGTTTAATAGAGTTTAACATATAATCGAGGTGTTTAAAAGAAACAGCTTTTGTGTCAATGGATACTCTTGATACCGTTATAGGACAGATTCAGAAATATATGAAGATGCGGTAGAACTTCAGCAGTTTTTTATTAAAATTCGTGATGAACTCTGCAAAAATGGAGAGATCCTTCTTTCACCAGCACTCAGCTATACCACAAAACATTTGCATAATGATGTGGAGAAAGAGAAAAAGGAAAAATTGCCAAAAGAAATAGAGGAAGATAAACTAAAAAGAGAAGAAGAAAAAAGAGGTTGGTTTCTTTTCATTTTATTGAATATGAAGAAATATACTGTCTTCTAGCTGTTCTCGTAATTAGCTGTGGAAAAGAGTCCTGTATGTATGAATGAAACCTCAGGGTATTGACTATTTTTGAGTGGACACGATGAGATGGAAATGTTTTTGTAGTTGTCAATTTGGTCATCAGATCTAGAAAAGATTGAAAGTTACCTGGGACACAGCTGTTATCCTGATATTTCAGGAAAAGAATCAGTTGATTCACAAGTGTGGGGACTTAATGCCGCTTTATATTATTGGTAGATCAAAACCTAAGGAGGCCAGCTGGAACTAGAAACCATTTTCAACAGTGAGTCCATCAAGTTTTTGCCATATCATACAGTAGCATTGCTTTCCTCATAGATACTCTGTGCCAAACAAGTAGATGACGTTTTGGTTGAATCACATACCTGGAGAAAAGTTTTATTTTAATTGTATCAAACTATAAAATGTTACTTTGGGTCACTTGCCATAATTTAGAAATATTTTGATAACAGGACCTTATTACAAATTGGATTATTTCTGATGAAGTTCAAGTTCACATAGATTCCTAGAATATGTGACTTTTAAGTTATGTTAGTCTTTGGCATCAGATCTCCTCCATAGATATTTTTCCCTTTGGCAAGAAAACAAAATAGATTAATAGATTAATTTGAAGCAAATTCTTTTAAGTGATGGCATACTCAAAAAAAGAAGTGAAAGAAACATGGTTGGCGAGAATAGTAATTTTGCCAGCATAGAACTAACTGCAAAACCAACAGCTTTGCCACCAGAGGAGATACACTCATTCAGGAAGATAGTGAGTATATATGTGTGGGGTTTAGGAGAGGGAGGAATCTGACTTTGCCGGCTAAAAGTGGTTGATGCAGAAATGCATGGAGTAAAGCTGCAACTTTGATGGCCCAAGGTGATAATCCAAGTTAAAGAATATTCTCAAAATTAGACGTCTATAAAAGGACTGAGATAAGCTCTCCACACATTCCCAGCCAACTGGAAAACTATACATGCTGTGGGGAAAGATGCAAAAGAACCTGGTGAAAAGCAAAAATCCAAGGAGTACTTGAAAATTGGGTGCAACTTTGAGTTCATCCCCCAACTATGCACAGACCTATCAGCAGATGGTACATGCTTATGAGCTTGACCTTCACCTAAGTCATTGGCTGGAGAGAGTAGCAACCCCTGGTGTCAGGTTGCTTAGTAGACCTATAATGGGAGCTCCAGAGGTGGGAAGAGAAAGGGGGAGAAAAAAGATTTGAAGACATAATAGCTGAAAACCTCTCAAATTTGATGAAAAACATTAATCTACAGCTCCACCTAAGAGAAACACAAAGAGAATCCTGTTTAGATACATCATAATCAAACTGTTGACAATCTTGAAAGCAGCAACTGATTCATCACCTACATTATCCGCACATCCCATCAAGGGGCCTGGGGATTGTCCAGCCCAACTGACAACCAGTGATAGCTGAGCACTTTTCCCAGAGTCTGGGGTCAGAGCCACTCAACCTGCCACTACCACCACAACTGGTACCCATCTTCATGTGCTACCTGTCCATCTGGGTACTAGCCGACCCATCATAGCCATTGCCAGCACCGTTGTACAACACTTGGGTCCCAGAGGGTTGTCCCAGCACTGCTACTGCCTTCACCCTTGCCATGTCCACTGCCCAGGGGCTCAGGGACCCACCCTTGATCCACTGCTGCCATTCCTGGCACTCCAGCAAGCCAGCCAGAGTCTCAAGAATTGGCCTGCCTAGACCCACTTGACAGCCCAGTCCACAGCAATACTTTACCATAGCCTCCACTATCAACTGCACCCCAATCCAGGGGCCCGCAGACCCCCACAGCTCATTAGGAACTGGGCTCCACAGGAGGCAGTGAGTGGCAGGCAAGCGAACATTACCACCTGAGTTCTGCTTCCTGTCAGAGCAGCGGTGGCAATAGATTCACTATATTGTGAACTGTGTATGTGAGGGATCTAGGTTGTGTACTCCTTATGAGACTCTAATGCCTGATGATCTGAGGTGTAACAATCTTGTTCTGAAACCATCCCACCCAACCCTCATCCCCTACCCCCACAAACCCCACCACCATTCATGGAAAAATTGTCTTCATGAAACTTGCCCCCGGTGCCAAAAAGGTTGGGGGCTGCCCTAAGCCACTGAGGAAGTCATGGATACCACTGATTCTGTTTACAGTAGAAGGAATCAAACAGAGATTACACTACTGTACACACCCAGAATCAAAATCAAAGTACCCTGCACAACCAACACCATAGGTACATCTTCAGGGAAAAGTCCTCTTCTATGAAAGTAAATTCAAAACACTGGGAAGTGACTGTTATACCAAACACACATATATCAATGTAAGGACACAGAAATCAAGAAAAGCAAGAAAATATGGTAACTCCAAAGGAACCCAATAATACTCTAGCAATAGATTCTAATCAAAAAGTAATTTATCGGCTACACACAGTGGCTTGCAACTGTAATCCCAGCACTTTGGGAGGCTGAGGCTAGGGGATCACAAAGTCAGGAATTGGAGACCAGCGTGGCCAACATGGTGAAACTCTGTCATTACTAAAAATACAAAAATTAGCCAGGCATGGTGGCATGCAATCCCCGCTACTTGGAAGGCTGAGCCAGGAGAATAGCTTGAACCTGGGAGGTGGAGGCGGCAGTGAGCCGAGATCTCACCATTGCGCTCCAGCCTGGGCCAGAGCAAGATTCCATCTCAAAAACAAAGTAATTTATCAAATTCCAGGAAAATAATTCAAAGTTTGATATAAAAGAAGCTCAGTGAAATACAAGACAATTCTCAGAAACAATACAAAGAAATCAGAAAAACAATTTAGAATATGAACGAGAATTTTATCAAATAAATATTATGAAAAAGAACTAAAAAATTCTGCAACTCGACCAGGCGTGGTGGCTCACCCAGCTACTCAGAAGGCTGAGGCAGGAGAATTGCTTGAACCCAGGAGGCAGAGGTTGCAATGAGCCAAGATTGTGCCATTGCACTCTAGCCTGGGCAACAAGAGCAAAACTCCATCTCAAAAAAAAAAAAAAAAAATCTGTAGCTTAAGAATTTATTGAATAAAATGCAAAAGATATTTGAAAGCTTTAAGAACAGACTGTAACAAGCAGAAAAAATAATTTCAGGAGCTGAGCACCTGTGGCTCACACTTATAATCCAAACACTTTGGGAGGCCGAGGCAGGTGGATCACAAGGTCAGGAGATTGAGACCATCCTGGCCAACATGGTGAGACCCTGTCTCTACTAAAATACAAAAAATTAGCCTGGTATGGTGGCACACGCCTGTAGTCCCAGCTACTTGGGAGGCTGAGATAGGGGAATCACTTGAACCCAGGAGGTGGAGGTTGTAATGAGCTGAGATTGCACCACTGCACTCCAGCCTGGTAACAGAGCAAGACTCTGTCTCAAAAAATACACACACACACACACACACACACACACACACACACACACACAGGCCATAAAGCAAGACTCTGTCTCAAAAAATACACACACACACACACACAAGCCATAAAGCAAGACTCTGTCTCAAAAAATACACACACACACACACACACAAGCCATAAAGCAAGACTCTGTCTCAAAAAATACACACACATACATACATACATACATACATACATACAGGCCATATATGACAGATCCAGAGCTAACATCATGCATAATGAGGGAGAGCTGAAAGCCTTTCTTCTAAGAACTGGAACAGGATAAATATCCCCACTTTCACCACTCCTATTCAACATAGTACTTTAAGAGAATCAGGCAAGAGAATGAAATAAATTGGAGAAGTCAAATTGTCCCTCTTTGCTAATGATATGATCTTATATCTAGAAATACCTGGAGACTTCATCAAAAAAACTCTTAAGTCTGAGAAGTAAATTCAGTGACTTGCAGGATACAAAATCAGCATATAGAAATCAGTAGTGTTTCTATACACTAGTAATGAGCTAGCTGAGAAAGAAATCAAGAAGGCCACTTTGGGAGGCTGAGACAGGTGGATCGCTTGACATCAGGAGTTTGAGAACAGCCTGGCTAACATGGTGGAACCTTTTCTCTATCAAAAATACAAAAATTAGCTAGGTGTGGTGGTGTGCACTTACAATCCCAGCTACTTGGGAGGCTGAGGCAGAAGGATCCCTTGAACATGGGAGGCAGAGATTGCAGTGAGCCAAAATTATGCCATTGCACTCCAGCATGGGCAACAACAGCAAAATTTGTCTTAAAAACAAAAAAAAAGAAAAGAAATCAAGAAGGTAATCCTATTTATAACATCCACCAAAAAAAAAAAAAAAAAAAAAAAAAAAAATCTACAAAGAAATTTAAGGAGGTAAAAGATCTCTACAAGGAAAACTGTAAAACACTGATGTAAGAAACTGAAGAGGACGCAAACAAATGCAGACATCCCAGATGCTCATGGATCTGAAGAATTAGTATTCAAATGAGCATATTACTCAAAGCAATCTACAGAGCTCAGTCTCCAATTTCTATCAAAATACCAATGTCATTTTCACAGAAATACAAAAAAACAGTCAGGCTGGGCATGGTGATTCACACCTGTAATCTCAGCACTTAGAAAGACCAAGGCATGCTGGGCGTGGTGACTCACGCCTGTAATCCTAGCACTTTGGAAGGCCGAGGTGGGTGGATCACCTGAGGTCAGGAGTTCAAGACCAGCCTGGCCATCATGGTGAAACCCCATCTTAAAAAAAATAAATAAAATAAAAAGACCAAGGCAGGTGGATCACTTGAGGTCTGGAGTTCGAGACCAGCTTGGCCAACATGGTGAAAACCCGTCTCTACTAAAAATGGACAAATTAGGCTGGTCGTAGTATCTCATGCCTGTAACCCTAGCACTTTGGGAGGCCGAGGCGGGCAGATCACCTGAGGTCAGGAGTTCGAGACCAGCCTGACCAACATGGAGAAACCCTCTACTAAAAATAC